ACACTAGGACTTCTGTCGAGGGTTCGACCCTCGCTCGGACTGGCCACGTGGAGTTTTCCGGGTTTTTTCCACGTATGTAACGTCTAAATAGGAGCCAGTTTCCCTTAAAAAGACCTCCCGAAAGGCAGATCGCCCAAGTGTTGCATTGCCATAACTTAACCAACAACAATTATAAGCAACAGTTCCTTTTAGAAGACCATCAGTGAACGAGTGGGTAACACAACCGAATACTACTCGCGGGTTCGCACCTAACCTGCTGGCTGAGTGAGTTTTCCGGGTTTTCTTCCAGTGTTTAACACCTACAAGCCAGATTTCCATAGAAAATCCTCCCTTGGCAGATGAGCCACATGAAGAAAATACCGCAAACTCTAGGTAGTCAGGCGTGAACCCACGATCAACTGGTAGTTACCAGTATTAACTGGTTTTATCCACTCTAACTGGTAGGCGAAGTGAAATACGAACCCGCAACCATGGTTTTCATCCACTAGTAGGCGGAAAGATTTAATTCTCTTAAGGTTTTATTTTATAAACAGCTTTATTCACTTCACATAAGAAGTATTATAAGGAAGAATTTCTTTTATAATACTAAAAACTGCTTCTATAAATTCTCTTTCTAGTTCTGTTTTCTACAGAGAATTCATTCTCCATAGAGACAAAAGTAAAAAGAATTTTTACTTATAGAGTCGTAAAATTCTTGCTGTGTTTATAACAAAAGATTTTTATTTATTTATTTATTAAATGTTTTAAAACTAAAACAAGATACAACAATCATAGAAAACGAAAATATTCTCTTTATAATGAACTTATGATGTGGATTATACAACAAACTTGGATTAGAAATCGGAAAACGTGGGTTTTTAAACGTAAATCTAATGCATTAAACGAAGAGAAATTTATTTATTTTTATTATAAAAATCTTTAAAGTATTAAGTACTAAATTCTTTTTCCCCTTTTAAATCTCGAATTTCATTTTACTTCAAAAAATAATACCAGACGAGTGTTCATCATTACTTATTCTATTTGATGTTTCTTTCCAGTAGAAAAAGGTAGATTTAATACAGTTCAAATTGTTTATAAATAAGTAAAATTCATAAATTATTTTACATTTTAAATAGTAAAAAGTAATGTTTATACGATAATTCAAACACGAGAAATTGTATACCTGTCGCGGGTTCGTATCTCACCGCAGGAACTGAACGTCCGTATATTTTATGCTTTAATTAGATAATGTTCGAGGCCCTTCAATGAGGAACAACCCCCCCGATTAAGTGGCCCAATGATTTTATCCACTGACCTGTGGTACTGTATCAAATGATACTTGATAAATAGTGGCTTCGGATATCATCCTTAAAAGTAAATAAGATCCGAACCCACCACTTCTAGTAATACTTTACTAATACCAAAGTAATTGTTAACTATAATTATATAGAAATTACTAACACAAAAGTAAACAAATTTAATATACTTCAGACAGATACACCCTCTCTCAGAAGCAATTTACTTCTAAATTAAACAGGAATTTGAATTTTTTTCGTATTCTCGCTAGATGTCGTTGTAGTTCCACACCCTGTGTACGAGTGTACAAGTATGTAAATGTAATTATACGGTTATACCGGTGTAGAAGGACCCGCGACAACTCCCAAAGTCAAACATTCTTCAAGGTGCTTCTACCTTAAATCATTAGTCTGGCATTCAGAGCAAGCCTCTATTGTTGTGTACAATTAAAAATTTCGTGTTAATCACAATTGAACGTGTTGTTTATACAATTATCCTATTGATTCGTAATTTCAGTCAGTTCTGATGTTCACTAATCAATTCTTCTCTAAACTAGTTTGTCAACTCCTGTGTTTATGACTGGTATTTTCTATTATAACCGTATAAAATACTAAATTTTTATTGTTCACACCTATATTTTATCATCACACTATTAAAACTGTTTCTAGGAACGTAATCTTAATTTAACACTAGGTTTAACGAGATAAGTGACTTCAGTCAATTTCGAGCAATTTCGATCACAGCTTCAGTCTAAACAAGCAATTTCGATCACAGCGTCAGTCTAAACAAGCAATTTCGATCACAACTTCAGTCTAAATAAGCAATTTCACGCTGGCTCGCTTAACGATTTTCTGGGAATTAGGTCGTAAAGCGAAGTTACTATGTAAAAACGTTAATTAAACGGGTTATTTTTTATTAGAATAACTTTTCCAATTACAGATTTTTCTTTTATTTTTTTAGTTCCATTTGATTTGATACAATAATTCCCCGTCGAGACTCGTTACATAAACCAATTTAGATTCCTATTTTTAAATAACGTAATCCTGTATTACACTAAATACATAACTATCGAGAAAACAAAAAATCATTAATAATTTGCCGATATACAAATCTATTTATAACAATTTCCAGTAGGATTTACATTAATATTTTGCTTTCATCAAGCAAAGTATTTAATACGTGAAAGTTTTCGGTGATTATTTAGGCACGAAATCCTCTTAAAACACACAAAAAAAATGCTGGAAGAGTAGAGAAGAAAAGTATTTTCACAATAAATTGAACAAGATTATAGCAAACGATGAAAGCGAAGTAACTTTTCGTGTTCACAGTTCTTATATTTAACTGTAGGTTGGATGAAAAGTGTAATAATACGAGGAAAACATGAGTTTTCCATGTCATCAAATATCAGTAAAATGTACCTTTTTTTTTAAATTCCGACAAGACAAAGATTTTGCAATCCAAATTTCGTCCTTTCTGCAGTAAATTGAAAGACCAGACACACATAAATTGAGCGTTGTGGTGTTGCTACTCACACAGAAATCACTAAAATTAATGCTGTTTATAGTAACAGAATATAAAATCTTAAATATTTATTAACAGAAAGCAATCTTAAAAGGTATTTTATTTGTTTAAACAGAACAAAATGACATAGGGCACCCCCATACAAGCACTCGACGGCCCTGTAGTATCTGGTATAGAAATTAATTATTATTATGGCACAATTTGTTAAATATACTGCAGAAACTACAAGAATATAAGTTTAAAGTCAAAATTAACAATGGTAATACCAAAAATATTAAAAGTATGTCACGTAATTACAATAAAAAAAAGGGAAAGAATCCTGACTTGTAATATGTTAAGTAATGGAGATAATTTCTTGTGGCTTCTGTTATTGTGTCAAAGGATCATTCTCTCATTTGAAAATAAGAAATAATTTACTTCTACACAATAATTTCTATTATAGACGATAATAAATGAACAAGTCGTTGTAATTTATTATATTACAAATTAATTATCTAAATATTAGAATTTAAATTAAGAAAAATCATTAATTTTTTAAGGAAAAGGCCGAAATTTAACAATTAAATCACTAGTTTAAGGCTTCTAACGTGTTTAAATACAGATGAAAGATCTAAAAAACACAACACCACAGTATTAATTGATGGAATTATAATAATATTCGGATTATACGAGGCCCTAATTAATGTGGATTAGTGAGGCCCTTTTATCTAAGACATTATCTTGATATTCAGTCCTACAGAGCCTAGCTAGTGTTGAATCTAGTATACGAGGCCCTAAAAGCGCGAGATCCTCGGATTTAGCCAATGATTGGCGTTTTTTAACTGTATTCATAGTAGTGATTGAAGCCTGTATATATGCTAATTATACTCTTATGTAGTGTATATATAATACTTTTATTTCTTTACTTCCCTAGCGAATACTTATATAATATGAAGTGTGTTTATATTTTTATGAAGTAAACAGTGTAGTTTTATATAGGCCTAATAATAAACACAATAGACTTCAATTAGTGTGAAACAAACTTGATTAAAATCAATATATTTTCAATAATAACTAACTGAATTAATTTTTAGTAGCTATCATTGAATGAAGTGTATATTTGTTTAGTATGGATTGATGAATTTATATTTAAATTTTGTTTTTTGTTAATGCAACTGTCGTGTGTATAGAAAGACTGTCTTACTCTACACCTACTCTATATCATGGCCTGTATATTCGTCTATTATTAAGTTAATTTTTGTACTGCCTTACAGTGGTTTGGCCACGTTAACAGAATGAATGAAGAGGAATTACTTTGGTTGAGGACTAGAGGAACTCCTGGTTGAGAGAGTTCCTCCTATCTACTTGATCCCCATCCTCAGTCAAGGTAACTGAGGATGAGAAGCAAGTAGGCAGGCATGTAAAGGAGCATGAGAAGTGTGCTTAGAGAGGCAGAAAGGTAGTGAGATCCCTCTAGCCTTATGCCCATTCATATGCTGTTCTATACTAATCGTGTATATAGATTGAGACAATGCATCTACACACGTGGTCATGTGTAGATTCGTTTATTAGTAATTAAATTAAGCTCTACTCTGATCAATTGCGTAGGTAGATTGTCTCGTTAATGTGTAACACGAATGAATTGTAAACTTTCTGTGGCTATAAATTTACATAAAATATCATTTGTTATATAAAATAGCGTATGTATGCATACGTAAATGTATTTTAAAAACCTTATAACAATAGAATGAAACGTTAATTATGCAAAAAACAAAGTAAGTAAATTGAACATGATAAAAATAGTTTCCTTTTTGATTTAATTTTAGATTAAAAAAAAGAGTTTTTAGGGCACGTTATCTTAATATTTAGTCATTAATTCTTGTTAGTTCATGAGAACAAACTCAACTGATAACACTAAAAGGGGGGTTACTGCTTGGTTCATTTGCATATTCGCTCGTTTCATTGCTTAATTGTCTGCCAAAAAAAACATTAAAATTATTTAAAAATAACAACACTAGAAGCATATTTCCTGAACGTTTTCTATTTTATTTTTGGCATAAAGGAAATAATACTGTCCCCACTTCTTTTTCAGGTAACACAGCATGGAATCTTACTTCAGTGCCTCATCACAGGTTCAAAGTTCTCGTGTGCAAACGTCATCTCATGTAGGAAACGAGAAAAAAAGTGAAATACTCCTGGCAAATCACACTTCCTGGGTCGAGTTAGTAGACGAATTCCGTCTACGATTAACTAAACTAGACGACATAGTAATCCTTATCCTATGTGCCCTGTACGTCGCTGTTTTTATAGTAGGACTCATTGGGAATGCCGTGATTGCTTATTTCACTTCGAAAAATAGATTATTCCCACACCATTTACAACAGAATCGTATGTTGATTAACCTGTGCATCGCCGATCTCATGGTGATTATCGTTTGTTGCCCCACTACCATCTACACAACTATCAGCAAAGTATGGACATTCGGTTGGCTCTTGTGTAAATTGTCTTCGTATCTGCAAGGTAAATCTTACTTTAGAGGGAGGTTTTTACGTGTTTGCACGAAATATTTTAATGATCTTTTTTTGAATTTCAGGTGTGGCCGTTACAGCCGGGACCTTATCTCTGGCAGCTCTCAGTTTAGATCGTTACTTGATCGTCTATCGCATCTCCACGTTTCGGAAGATGAACAGGCGTAACTTATCCCTTATATTGATAACTACTATTTGGATAATAGCAATTTCTATTCATTGTCCCATTCTGTATGTTAAAACTACCCACGAATTGAAGGTGGGAAATTTGGAAGTTGCGTATTGTTACGAGGAATGGAATGCCGAAATAACAAGGCGTTTATATTCCATATCAAGTCTGATCATAGTTTATGTGTTACCCTGCGTGACATTGATGATATGCCACGCATCAATTAGCTGTACCCTTTGCACGATCGATCGTATTGAACCTAGAAAGCAAGCATTAGCAATGAGTGATATTAAATCGGGGACGTCGTTTCGCATGCAAACGTATTGTAGTCATGTTTCCGAGAAGGGAACATCGAGTGGAAGAATGGCATCCGTAGTTTCTCTAGAACCGAACAGACAAACGTACACTCAGACATTCCGCACTAGAAGGAGATTAGCTAACGTGTTAATGGGTCTCACTTTGTGTTTCGTGGCTTGTTGGTTACCGTATAATTTCGCTTCTGTTTATATGGATTTGAACCCGAATCATAGTATTGCCTCCCTTTTACCTTTTACGCTTCTATTAGGTCACGCTCACAGTGCTATTAACCCAATTGTTTACTGGTTACTCAACAAAAGCGCTAGAAACAAAATACAAAACGTCATCAGGTTTCGTTCGTCAATTGCTAAACAGTCACACTTAATGCCTGTCATGTGTTTTCGATTTAATATGCCTACCTCCACCAGCACTGATTTAGCAATGATGAAATACCAACCCCGGCCTAAACAATCATCAAATATGTGCCTATCATACTAAAAACTGTGAAATCCTCCGCACATATTTTTAAATTCTATTGTTAAATGTAAAGTATTGTGCTGCTGAGCCTACTTAATGCTGTAAATAAGTTATAAATTCGATTAATAATCACGTCAGCTTAATTTTCTTCCAGTAGAAACTTTTGTATATATTCATTAAACACGTCAGAATCAATTTGGTCCGTAACAAGCGTTAAATGTCGTGATCTTTGTCATGTTTATATCAACGTAAATTGATAAAATGCACAATAACCTACCGAATTTTATTCATTTTAAGTGTGAATTTCTATACGTGAAATTAGGATATATTTTAATATATTATGAAGTCTTGAATTTTTTAATAAACACTTATAATGGGGGACGATACCAGATCCTATGGGTCTAAACGAGTTCCAAATTGTTTATAAAATGTTTAAAATTTTAACTCCTAAATAGTGCCACCCTCGTAAAGTGCCAACGAATACCCATTAACACAGTATCTGTGAATATACCAAGTGTACGATTTTGCATAGTAAAACGAGTCACACTCGATTTAGCGCGAATATTGTGGCGCTAAATCGAAGTTTGGCTGTACATATACCATTTTATGGAAGAAATGTTTATATTTTATTAATCTATACTTTGTAATTAAATTAGTTTTGAGTGTTATCTAGTTAATTCGTACTTAAAGCATTTCGATCTTACGTAATTTAAGATAAAACTACAACCAGGACAACACCGAAAATGTATTTTTATGAAAGTCTGCAATTATTTTTTCTAAATGTAATTTTATTTCTATTTTCAAAAAGAATAAACTATGTTAACTGAAATAAGTTTTAATTATTTTTAATATACGTTCTTGACTGAAAATGAATAAAACTAGATATTCCCCGCACCAACTGTTCAGATGGCTCAAATTCCCTACACTACATTGTTCAAATACGTGAAATGCCCCACACCAACTGTTCAGATGGCTCAAATTCCCTACACTACATTGTTCAAACACGTGAAATGCCCCGCACCAACTGTTCAGATGGCTCAAATTCCCTACACTACACTGTTCAAACACGTGAAATTCCTATAATAACTGTTCAAACGTGAGAAATTCTTGACACTACACTGCTCAATATATACAAAAGCCCAAAGATATCCGAAATAACGTCCATACTCGACTTACGCTTGTGATAATTTAAGAAACTCTTTCATTGTGTCTTAATTAACGTTAACACCATCTAACAACGATTAAAGTAAACATAAATATTTACTTTAATCCTTATTGCATTAAAGAAATGACATTAATTAAACAACAATGAATATTATGAGAAAAAAATAAATTTCATAACTTACCAACATCATGTATGAAGGGGTGAAGTTTCTTGCGGTTGTTGTTAACTTTGGTAACCTAGCTTTATGACGTAATAGTCACTCATACAGCTAGATAACCAAAGAAAATAGCAACGCCTGATTTCCATTATTCGATCTACAAGAAAATTAAAAAAAGAAAATTTCATTAATTTGCCAGAAAAATCACACATTTAAAAGCAACTGTTGCAAAGTGCTGTTATAACATTTGATATTATGAAACTGGTTAGATGAGCAGGAAGTTTCTTTTTCTAATTATTTTTATAAAACCTGAAATAAACTTATGAACTAGTTTTGATATTTAAATGTTTATATTCTAAGAATCTACTAAACTGGTTTTATTAATTATTCAAGAAGATAAAAAGGTGTATATGTAATATATTTACACACACACACTCACGCAGCTAGAGCTCTTGGTTTTAAAGTATTGATCTTCACACTTTTATATAAGAAATTTTGTGCATTTTAATTACTTAAAATGTGTTTACATCGCACTTTTATATAACTTAAATACTTAATTAACTCGTTTCTAATTAAATGAAACATTTAAACAGTTAACAATTAAAGTTAATTAAATCATTATCCTCTAGATGAAAAGGTCTTGCAGAGGTCTTTCACACGGTTAAAAAAAATCCAGCAACGAGTTGCGTAACTTTCCTGGGAAAAAAAGTTAAAATTGTACCTGGCGCCATCTGTTACGAGATTTTATTTTAAAAAATTTAAATTATTAATTATTATAAAATGGAAAAAAAACGCTTAGCTTTCACAATAGAGAAAGTTTTATGAGAAATTGTAAATGGTAATAATCAGTATAATCTTCATTAAAATGAGATTCTACTGGAGATAAGACACGCGATCCCGTATATCTCTTCAACCCCTCTACCTTTCACCACCAAAATTTAACAGCGTTGACCCTTCTAACACGCAAACCTCCCTGAAAAATTTCAGAAATTTTCGTTAAATGGCACAGGAGTTATTAAGCTTCAAATATGGCACCCCCGCACTATATTTCTCTACGTTTCGAGGTCTTCAGAGAGCCATACTTTTCCACTGTTATATGTAACACAGGGTTAAGTAAATTAAGTATATGAAACTATGAGTCATTTTTAAGCGTGTTAAAGACCCTACAAAGCACCAACTCTTAACTTATGGGTTTAACCTTCTATGGACTTAAATTCCTCATTTAAACGATTTCCATTCGTGTAATATTAATTACGTCAAATGGGCATTAACTACGTTTAATGTAATATTAAGCTAATGGGCATTCCATGCTAACAATTTTCTTGATTTATCGCTTTTAGTGGATGTCACGAAAGTTTCAACGAGTTGTAAAAATAAGGTAATGTCCTGACCCGAGAGAAGAGGGCGAATATGATGTCCGGTATGCTGTTTGGACAGCATTCCATCGTGAAACTCGCGTGAACCTGATGGTTGGGGGTTAAGATTTTGTCTCTTATCTCTTCCCTCCCATGAGGGGACATTGACCAATGCATTTTATATACGAGAGTTCACTTCATTGTCCGTGAACTTTACGTGGCACTCATTTTTAACCCATTAAGAAACGGTGCATTATACAATCCCATTTATTTAAATTGCTTGCGTACGGCGCAATTTTCTTGTACCTTGGCTTATAAACAGCTCAAATTAATTAGAATTTCTAACGTGTCGCATGTTTAAATAAATCTATGACGTAAGAATTGTGTGTGATCAGAACACACGGGAATTGTTTCGTCATAAATCTAACGTCTGTGGTAATTGTGTGTGAAGTACACAAGTTAAGAAAATGGATACAAGATGGGCCAGACAATGACAAGATAAAGGTAAACACAGGACACACGAGGACGTGACTAAGATTTAACAAAAAACATTTGAGAAAATCGCCATGAAATTCTATTTATGGTGAAGTAATTCTTATATTGTTACATAAATTCACTTTATTTAATCTATGAAAGTAGGACTTACTATTAATAAAACGTTCCTGTGGGAAGATTCATCATTGTTAAGGATAACAGCACTAAAATTAACAAGGAAAATGGAGTCTTTTGAACCCTCATAAACTAACTTATATTTATATCAAAGAAAATAAAAATTACACGGGGTTCTCTTAAATTTACGACACTATAAATTTATACCGTGGGACGTTTTCCGCCAATTAAAAATAAAAATATATCAATAAATTTATAATATAAGAAAGCCCAAAAGTCTGTTACCCGTGTTATATTTCGTATGTATTACGAGTACATTTATGAATTTCAATTAAGAACTGAAGAATTGAACGATAAGAATATTTAATTACTCGAATAAGTCGTAGTTTTTTGAATAGTTAACCGACTTTTGGACTACCTTGTGTGTACAGTAAATAAAAACACCGGTTTTAATTCATTTTAATGTGTAAAAATGAATGAATTTTGCAGTAAATTTAACAAATATCGAATATTTGATTGCTAAGATAGTAATTTATTGTCTATAACAGTTAATTGACTTTCGGGCCATCCTTTGTTCTATACGCTAAATTAAGTAATTTAGCGTATAGAAGTAAAAAGAAAACATTTCACGAGCTTGTTAACAGACCAACGAAGTGGCCCGAAAGTTAGTTAACCGCCGTCAAGGAAGTATTTTACAGAAGCAAGGATTTAGAGTAATTCGTATAGGAAAGAAATCTATTTTGTATAGTGGTTGACTGACTTTTGGGCCACCCTGTAAATACGTGAAACTCTGTTTCCACGCTGAAACGAATTTGATTGCAATAAAGTTGATAGATTTTATTAAAATTTCCCATTTTTTTTTTTAGATCGATATCCAACGGAACTAATTAAGCGCCATACTTGATAATTTATTATTAATTTTTTTACTGGAGAAAATAATTAAAAAAAAACCTGCACCTCAGGAATAATACTTGAATTAATGAAGAATATTTTTATAATTAATTTTTTAAGTAATAATTTAATAAAACAGTTAATTAGCGTATGTACAGAGTTTAAATATTAATAATTATTTTTTTATGCAAAATATCAAAAATTCTTATTTTTATTATTGTAAATTGTAATATAAAGTTTAGAGGATTTCGAGAAAAATTTTAGAGGATTCCGGGGGAAAATTCAGAGGATTTGGATGTAATTTTAGAGGATTTCGGGGGATTTTCAGAGGATTTCGGGAAATTTCAGAGGATTCCGGGGGAAATTTTAGAGGATTTTGGAGGTAATTTTAGAGGATTCTGGAGGTAATTTTAGAGGATTCCGGGTGAAGAATTTTAGAGGATTCTGGAGGTAATTTTAGAGGATTTCAGAGGTTTCTCTCACAAAACTTATTTTCTAAGAGAATTTCTATCTCAAAATGTAAAGCGCACAAAAATAAAATTTAATTACTCAGAAATATTATAAATATTAAGTTTCTAAGGCAATTAGAACGTATAAATACTTTATATAAGTCGATAAATTCTGGAATTTTTAAACTAAAAAGAAAAAAAAAACAAATTTGACTTTTTTGGTAATTTGATTTGGGAAAGTGGGAAAACTCCCATTTAAGCATAACTCCAACCATAAAAAGAAATGAGTAATGAATTTTCATTCGAGGTCAACCGCTTCCTACCTTAAAATATGAAACAAAATTTATTAAATTGAAAATAAAAATAATAAAAATATTCGTGTACCTACGTTTCGTTTTCAAATTAATTAATTAACAGAATATAGTTTTTTTTATACACTTAAGAGAATTAGGAAATCAGTAGACGGGGAAATTTTAGTTAAAAATTACTTATTTAAAGGAAAATCTTCAAGGAAAACCCTTGTAAATTATGTATAATAACTATTAATGTACGATGTTACGTAGTAGTTTTTAAAACTAGGTTAATTATTAAACCGATCCCTGCAGTATTTAATTACAATTGGAGTAGACTATTCTTAAATTTCAACAAATACTAATCAACATTTTGGGCTTTGAATAGAGGGAAAGAAAGGAATAATATTTAGAAAATCGAATAAATAATAATTATTCTTTCAATTTGCATCGTCTCAATGCCAATGCAGTTTTTTTCTTTTTTTATAGAGAACTCAATTCTCCTTTTTTCATCCTGTAAGATCCTGTGATCAATGTCCTTCGCGTGACAGATTTATGTTTTTAAGATGGTATCGGCTCCGTTCTATGCTTCTATACCTGTCCTGAAAAGGGTCTTAGAACTTGGAGTACATTGGAATTAATTGAGAAAAAATAAAATAAAAAGAAACGTATCTTTGATAGCCAGAAAAGATCTAAATTTTTAAATTATTTTACTTACTTTTAGCTCTTGTTACATGCAAGAGGCTCTCCTATATTACCTGTTAATATTAAATTTAAAAGTGCGAGGCCCTAAATCTATTCTTGTTTAGCTTATGTAAATACCCATTGGTTGTCTTTATTATACTCACACGTAACTAATCCAAACCTCTAAACAATGGTCATTGAATAAATGGCCGTTGTTTTAAGGTTATTTTGTATGCCTTTCAAAAAGAAACGTTCTTGAAAAAGTGGCCGCGATTTAGAGGTTGTGCTGTATTTAGTAACTATAATTATGGGACTAGCTGACTAACCTTCTGTTGAA